TTTTTTTTGTACTCAGTTGCAGTTCCCTGGTGTATTGCTGAATATATGAATTGCGTATGATTTTCAGTCTGTGTGAGCACTTACAAAAGCAAGGAAGGACTGATTTTTAAAATTGTGTTATTATTATTGTTTTAAATAGGCCTTATTGACTGCATTGCAATCTTTAGTAGCGTGCACTTTATATACTTAAATAAATTGTTCCAAATAAATTGACACGATGCAGCCATATATATTTGTTTATTTTGTGTATGAGTCTTTCATATTGTTTTCTTCCTTAATACATGGTAACAATTATTTAACGATTTTTATTTATTGTAATTGCAATCACAAGCACAATACACTTATTATTATTATTATTATTATTATTATTATTATTATTATTATTATTATTATTATTATTATTATTATTATTATTATTATTATTATTATTATTATTATTATTATTATTATTATTATTATTATTATTATTTATTGTTTTTTTTTTCTTTTACTTTTTCAACTTCTTTTGTATTTACCAAATGGAGTAAACAGCAAATTTCTCCACCGTTTTGCAAAACTAGCATTCAATATTGATTGGTATTGAACCATAAACTGAAGTAAAGGATTTTGTAACACACTTAAGTATTTTTTGAAAAGTTTACTACATATGAGTTTGAGAGAGAAAGAGAAAACAGCACAAAAAATAAAATGATTACTCACCAGCTGGTTGAAAATGGACAGATCATTTGAATAAGGAAGAAAAGCTCCATAGCTTTGTGCGGCAGCGAAAGGTGATCCGTACATAGTGGAGAGAACATTAGAGAGCGCTCCGGATGGGCTCAGGTCTGTCCCGGCTCGGGCACTGCCTATCCCCTGCCTGTCCTGCGGGTATATGGGTCGGATGTACTGATATCCCAACTGTGGGAAAGACATTGTTGTGGAGAAAGTCTACTGGAGTCACAAAAAGCGGCGAATCGCCCTCTTGGTGCGCACCACGATATCCACTTTACAGTGAGTACAAAGTGTCAGGGAAGTCTATATTTCCTCCGAAAGAGCCAGTGTAAACGATCCGATTGCGCTTTCCTCCCTTACTTCCCTATTGATCTGAATGGACTAAGGTCAGGTCCTTACAGATTGCTTTAGATTATTGGAACTCCTTTTTGTGATTGACATTTTTAGTCGTTCAGAAGCTCCTCCTATTTCTCAAGTCTCACCCCCACTTACAGAGCCTCTCTCTCTCTCCCTCCCTCTCTCCCCCTCTCTCTATCCGCTCCTGCTCTCCGTCTGGATAAATCCTCTGACGTCGCCCTTTCTTATTTGAATGAGTTTAAAATCTCATTTTATGGCTCGCCAATCACTTCATTTGTTATTTGTTCGCCGCTTCAGCCCTTTCCAATTTCTTGTGTTACTTCTCAAAATTTTCGATCATCCACAAAATGGTAAATATTTTATTCTTAAGTCATTAACTTCCCGCAGATCTTTTGTGTCTTTATTTTACTCGCGTCTCCTCCACGTGAAACGAAGAACTTTAAAGTTTAAATCGGAGAGCACATACAGAATGTCGTGCTTACTCTTACAAAATACAAAAGGAATTTTTTTTTATGCGAAGAGCGTTTTTAATGCATCTAAAACGGAACAAACCAATCGGGGTCTTCTGACGCCTTTACTGAAACATCAAAACACTGGCGTGTTACCGTTCGCCTTCAGAGTAAGTTGACGAAAAAAAAAAGAAAAGCCTTAACAATAGCACCATTTCGTAATGTGACTAGGCTATATGCCGTATATTGTGGGTTTCTGCAAATTACAATTTAGTGCGTTTTAATTTTTGAACTATTGAAAATTATTATTATTATTATTATTACTACTACTACTACTATATATGATGTATGCATTTAAGATGTCAGCCTTGAAGACTTTTTTGACGTATTAAAATTTAATCGCAAATGTTTCAATTGCATTCATGTGTAAAAGCTTCTGTTCCTAAAAACATATTTTGGGCTATTAACCTACAGGATTACTCTACAGATAGACAGATATCCATTGAAAAGATCTGATATAATCCGCACCCTTCTGTAAATAATACGGATTAAAACAAAGGACGATGATCACGATTGAAATTCCTTGAATCAATATATGAAAATATGCAGGAAACATCTATAATCGTATTATGCTCCTAGTCTAGTGTCATCATATGTTTGCTAATCGTCTTCCAAACAACGGCACCGATTAGTGCTTTAAGGAGTTTCGTTTATTTGAATATAGGATGACTAAATCTCAGTTCAGTAATGAAAGATTATGGTGAATCAACTTTGGCTTGGATTTAATGTGATGTGGTTTCCAAGAACGCAGCATTCTTCCTAAACCTTCCATCTGCTTTTAAAGAGATCGTTATTGTTATGGCATCCTAATATCTGGAATGTCATTTGTATTGGCTCTTTGCTTATTTAAGGACTCCCGGTTTTCCATGTTCTCCTTACCACGTGTCTGCTGTTTTGACGTCTAACAATGCAGGATTACGGGGGTTATTAATTAGAACAGCAGTCTGATGCCATTCAGAGCGGATGGTAATAACTACATAACCGTCAATAACACCCACACGGACCTGCAGAGCTAACAAGAGCTCTCAGCCCACCCGACTGACCCCACAGCACTGCGCCACCTGGGACAATGCAAAACACAGATAACCCTCTAGGTTTCAAGCAGTCTAGTTTTATTTTTAGTCATATTTACCTACAGGTATTTGCAATGATTTTGACGCAAACTAACCGTTTTCAAACCTCTGAAGTTGGAAGCACGGGGGAAAGGAAAAGTGTGCGTGCTGGAGTCCGCCCTGCAGCGCTCTGAATTCGGATGGACACGTGTCTCATCCCGGGACCTGTCAGGGTTTCAAGGTTTGCCTCTGATTTATTGGCCCAATCAAATACACATGCACTAACTTAACACTTTCACACTGACCCAGGAAACTGGCACAGCCATAGAAGCATTAGGACGGTGTTTTCTTCCTGCCTTCTTCTCCCACACCGTTGGAAGCCCGTGTAACAATTTAAATAAAAGGCTTAAGCATTATTATTATTATTATTATAGTTTATATTTTTATAGTTCTAATAATATTAATAGAAACAATAAAACCAAACAATTGTATCAGAATTATTAATAGACATTTGCTAATATGTAGGGCACGCATTTATATCTAATTGTTAATTTTTTTTTAACCTATAGCCTAACAAGACTCCATTAAACGCAGGCCAACATTTCAAAGTACCGCACTAATATCACGTGTATGAATAGGACAATCTCGGATGTGTGACTTGAGGGATGATTTCTGTGACTCCTTTACTAGCAATTATGCAGATGACACCATTTCGCATTCTCCAACACGCATCCAAATAAACAAGCAAAGACGTTGCGCTCACAAGCGTTAACCACTGAATGTAGTGAAGTTTGAAGCACGGGGAAAGGATAAGTGTGCGTGCTGGTGTCCGCCCTGCAGCGCTCTGAATTCGGATGGACACGTGTCTCATCCCGGGACCTGTCAGGGTTTCAAGGTTTGCCTCTGATTTATTGGCCCAATCAAATACACATGCACTAACTTAACACTTTCACACTGACCCAGGAAACTGGCACAGCCATAGAAGCATTAGGACGGTGTTTTCTTCCTGCCTTCTTCTCCCACACCGTTGGAAGCCCGTGTAACAATTTAAATAAAAGGCTTAAGCATTATTATTATTATTATTATAGTTTATATTTTTATAGTTCTAATAATATTAATAGAAACAATAAAACCAAACAATTGTATCAGAATTATTAATAGACATTTGCTAATATGTAGGGCACGCATTTATATCTAATTGTTAATTTTTTTTTAACCTATAGCCTAACAAGACTCCATTAAACGCAGGCCAACATTTCAAAGTACCGCACTAATATCACGTGTATGAATAGGACAATCTCGGATGTGTGACTTGAGGGATGATTTCTGTGACTCCTTTACTAGCAATTATGCAGATGACACCATTTCGCATTCTCCAACACGCATCCAAATAAACAAGCAGAGACGTTGCGCTCAAAAGCGTTTCCTTATGCAATACACAAGATGCCTGCGACAGTGCTGATCAAAGACTTCAAACAGGGGCTCTTCAAATTACACCTCTGAATCAGCTCTGCAATGCCAAGGCGACAGAAAACAAGTAACACATACCCCATCGCACATGGTCTTTTAAACGGGCTTTTCTGATCCGATCTGTTAATTGAGGTGACAAAGGATTTAAAACGAAAACACACTTAATGACCTTTGATGTGTGTGGTGTAGGCTATTCGACAGGGGGAGGAATGAGAAATATGTGTGTTAGCGTGACTGGCCTAAGTCACATTTTCTTTAACAGCTCCGGCAAAGAGGATTTTATTTGGTTAGAGTCGAGAGGGGAAACCAGTTTGCAAGTTCTGTGAAGAGTTTACATTTTGCATCTAAGTTTTGGTTAAGCAGAAAAACGACTAGTAATATAGTAGATCTGTCTTGATTATAAAGAATCGCAGAACCACTAGTGCTATAGGGTTGGTCTAAAAAGATTCTGATTTATAATATGTTTTATACTACGTGGTTCCAGATTATTAACCACTTTTCATCAAAGTCTATCCACGATTTTATAGAGCAGCTTTCTGCAAAAAGAAACTTACTACTTCATGTATTAGTTTACATAAAATCATTAAAACTGTATTGTTAGTTTTATATAGTTAGTTTTAATGCTTTAAACTAACTAGCTAATTAGTTTTATTGCTGAAGTGCAAAATAACTTGTAGGGAACAGTTTTAATTTTCCTATACAAAACACCTCTGTCTAAAAATAATTTTACTGTTAGCATAATTTGACTAATGTTATTTTAATAAGGTTTCTCCAATCAATCGTGTCTATTAAAGAGATAACTTGCAGTGGAGGAGAAAGTGACGAGTTTTGAACTGTTCCCTGGGCACACACATCAATTTGGAGCAAATTAAGAGTAGTCAATGGACTGCAACTTATTAAAATGCTTTAACAAATTGTATCAAACACCAAATTCAAAGGCGACGTCTGTTTTAACCCTTCATTAGCTAGAGGACCAAATGCTCTATCAGAACCGACCTTGTTGTCCTACCGAACATCTACAGGTGGTTTAGATTACACGTTCTGGCGTCTGTGTACTGTGGGGATTTTCTTAACCTTTATGCCTCCTTTACACTAACACGGGCGGATTTAGACCTCTTGTTTTCATAATATCAAGAGGCTTAAATACAATGAAAAAAAGTATATCCTAATCATATAAATGTTAATCGTATATCTAATATTATACTGTGTGCAGCTTTTGGCAACTGAAGCAAAGCACAGACGAAAAAGGAAGAAAAAACATTTTCCTCAGCATCAACGCTTCGACGACACCCCAGTCTATTAAGTGACTGCTGAAGTCTGAGTGCTGAGGCTGCGGAAATCTAGAGGGACTTATTCTCGATTGTTTCTTCGGCTGTGATACGGGGCAAGCGTATAGTCGGAGCAGCGCGGTCATAAACTGGGAATTTGGATTTGGTAAATTGCGCAGCCAGCGGCGGCCACGCGCAGTAATTGATTGAGAAGGTCAGAGCACGCGCTGCTCAGTCTTCGCGCGCAGCTTTGGTAAATATTTTGATGGCGGTCTTGCGCGGGCTTCGAGTTGTTCTATTAGCAAGGCAGGGTTACTTTCATTTATCGCTATTTGCCAACATCTGCCCTCTCAGCAAAGTGCACACACCTACAAGACCTATTTTTTTCTCAGTTGCCTTTTAGAGTAAATTTGTGGAGAATGACTGACAATGTGAATGTGACAAGAATAGGTTTCCAGTTTTTCTACTTGTACAGGTCATTCAGTAGTTCTACCTGACATAATAATAATAATAATAATAATAATAAAATATTTATTATTATTATTATTATTATTATTATTATTATGTTTCTGGGGGAAAAACAAAGCACAGAAAATTGTCCAGTGTTTCTGGACCATCTTCACAATGGTGATTTGAATATTAGCCACATGCTTGTTTTCTTCACTGCTGCCGGCCTTTCTCTGCGTGGTTGTCTCCTGTATCAGTAACAAAGCAGCCATTGATTTTATGGTAAAGTCACTTTGCAAAGGGAATGAGTTCCTGTGGCCGGGGATATCAGTGTGTTACACGGGTATAGCCCAGGTAACAAGATGAGCATTGATTCAGCATTACAGCTGATCAATACCAAAATAAGTAACTTCAGGCCTGAATTAAAATACAAGTTGGAGCTTGCTTTGCTGCTGTCAGTTTATGGAGAAGTGACAGAAAGACACACAGTAGCACGACTGAAATAAATTGTGTACGTGTGTTCAAGGGCAAGACCAGAGTGCACAAGCACCACTTAGGAACTCTCAGATTCTTTTTGTGTTATGTTGACAGATTAGAATTCAGTTATCTTAGCTATAAAACTGTCATCTGCACATATGCAAATTGCTGTGCCAATGCATTACCATTACTAATACCATTCCAAATGTATGTTAGTAGTAATAACTGTAAACAATCCGGTCACTTATGCTTAATGCTTCATGTGGTGACACAGTAACTACTTCTGGTTTCAAAACTAATTTTGTCAGCAGTAACTCCTAATAATAAACCACGTAAAGTAATTATTGATCCTTAATTCTACAGTGACTTGCCTAGAGATATTTCATTGAGGGGTCAGTAATAAACCGCTTGGACTACTAAAACCCTCATTGTACTGCATCGTTCTCTGTGTACATGATAAAATCATTTGATTAAGAGGTGCAGCAAGCAATTCCTGAACACAAGATATTCCAGTGGAAGTTTTTTGACTGGAACATTCTTAGGCCAAAGAATGCCAGTTTATGATCTCCAGGAAGTACACAAAGAAAATATGGTTGCATTCTATCGATCTCAAGTTGAAGGCAGTCGGGAAGGTTCTTATAGAAGATGTTTGCCTGAAGCAAGTTGTGTCTAATATCTATAGAAAGATTACAGGGTGCCCCAATAGCATATTGAGCTGCTGGACATAGCATGCACACATAATGAAGACATCTTCCATCAGCAACAAATTGTGCTGAACAAAAGGAGAGTGACAGAAAGAGAAACAGAGTAACCATTCATGATTAAAATCAGACCTATAGAGTGGATTTACAGCTAAAACAAAGAAGCTGTTTGAGTAATCCAGTAATAATCTAATTGTGTGATTTTTATACAGACCATTCCAGATTGCTAGCTCTCCTTGTTTTTTTTTCCTCAAGCTGCTGTAGCTGGTTAGTATATAACTGCAGGAGATGCAGCTGTACTAACACAGAGGCCCCTATCCACCCAGAGGCACTGATAACCCTGCGGGAAGAATAGCTCACAGTCTACATATTGATGCATCCTCAAATATAAAGTCAAGTAGGTTTTTAAAGATTGTATGCCTTGTATAACCTAACAGTTCAAAAACTAGCCTCCTGTCTTTAATGTAAAAGAATGCAAGCTAGTTTTTTTTTTTCATCCTTATTATCTTTTTTATAACCGGCTAATAGCAAATAGTAGTGCGAGCCTGTTATCAGGTCTAGACTGAATAGCATTATGGTCTTCGGTGTGTGTGTGTGTGTGTGTGTGTGTGTAATCAGTAATATTGAGTGGCACAGCATGCCAACACACTGAGGTCAGTGCAGTTTATATGGCCAGCACTCATACTCAGCATGAAGTTAGTGATATGACAGACCACCTAAGCACTGTCCTCATGTACACACTCCAGACTAAGTGTATGAAAGTGTGTTTGTGTGGTACATTAATAAAAGTAGTATATGTAAAAGTGTATACTATCTGTCTATCTATCTATCTATCTATCTATGTAATGTATATGAATGTAAATATAAATATAGAATTACATAAAGTAAATGTAAATTTACAATGTTACATTGTATTCTACAGACAAATATACATTATTTCAGTTTAATTTCAACAACATTTAATTTCAGATTTCAGATTTTTTTTTGTTTAATAATTCTGTTAAGATTTTTGTTTTGTTTAATAATTCTGTTATTTTCACTATATATATTTCCCTTTCGATACTACATTTGTACTGTGTCTTGCTAGATGCTATGGGGAAAAAAGTAATTTTTTCTCCTGAACTGAAGCCTTTTTCAATCACGCAGTGAAACTGCACGGCCATTGGTTCGTGCAGTATGTTTTAAAAATGAACCATTGGCTCGGCAGCGGGGCTGCACAAACCTATGGCAGCGAAGCCCGCCAAAGCCCGCCAGAATGGGCAGAGTCATCTGGCTATGTAAGCGGCCGCTTCGCCATAGGATTCAGATTTCTTCTCCTTCAGCGACGACGACATTCTTCGCATCTCCGCTGACTGAAGAGCCTGCTCGCCGTTGACACGCCTCGCAGTGGAACGACTGCCCGGCTGATTCAGCGCCTTTCGCCGCCTTCAGGTACGTGCAGCAGCAGTTCTCACCAGATCATGGCGCGCCCCATACTCTGCCCGCCTCCGTTCTGCTGCTTCATCCGCCCTCACCTAGGTCGACGGCGCTGAAGGCAAGGGGTATGAGAAGTTGCCTCCGCTCGACAAGGCAGTGACCGCGCATCTCTGCCCGCCCACTGCGATCGGCTGGAAGGCTAAGGCTGCCCATCCATCCAAGCCATGTAGGGCGACGTCAGCCCTCGCTGGTTGCGCCTACTCATCGGCTGGGCAAGCGGCCTTGGCGCTCCACTCAATGGTCGTGCTCCAGGTCTTCCAGGCCAAGCTCCTCGCCAGCACAGACGAGTCAGGCCCGGACCACGCGACGCTCAGGGAGCTGAGGAGCGCGACAGACCTGGCTTTGCGTGCAACAAAGACCACGGCTCAGGCTATTGGGTGCTCCATGGCCAGTCTGGTGGTGTTGGAGCGCCACCTATGGCTGACCCTGACCGAGATCAAGGATGCTGACAAGGTCCCGTTCCTCGATCCCCGGTCTCTCCCAACGGTCTGTTCGGGCCAGCGTTCGAGGGCCTCGCTGAGCGCTTTACTGAAGCACAGAAGTCGTCCCAAGCCATGCAACACTTCCTACCAAAGCGCTCCAGCTCTGCAGCTGCCTCGAGTCACCCCAAATCTGCACCGACTCAGCAGCCCGCGAAGCCTGCACCTGCGGCGGCCGCCGCCACCCAGCCAGCCAAGCCTGAGCCTCGAAGACGTTCCCGCTCAGCCAAGTGCTACCCGTTTCCGAAGTGCCAGGACCCTCCGCCTAAGCTAGCACTGGACCCGGCGCCTCCGGCATCATCCTGAGCAAAGGAGCAGGAAGAGGAGGAGGTCAAGTCTCCCTGCAGCCGGACCACCCCCCAATCTGCCTCTCGTAAGCCGCCAATCACCCCGTCTAGTTCCGGGTGCAGCCAGCAATGTGTTTGATGTAAACTCTGGGCCCTTTCAAGCGCCCAAACGGTGATCTGCTGTTATAGTGGGCAAAATAAAACACAAACATTTTCAAAGAGAGAGCAAATTTCCTCTTCCATTTCTTATGAGTACCGTGTCCCCTTGCAGTGACCAGGCACTCAAACCAATCCAACCCCTGTCCTCCTGGGCCCAGATAAACTTACGATCACTGAGAGCATCACACGTTCCGGGCGTATTGAACCGAGGAGCGGATATGTTGTCACGAAGCAAGGTCCCCTCAGAGGAGTGGATGCTTCATCCGCAGACTTTTGTGGGAATTTGGGAAGTCTTCGACAGGGCGGAAGTAGACAATTCTCTTCGCCTCAGAAGACAATTCTCACTGCCCAATCTATTTTTCCAGGGACAAGGATGCGTTGGCGCACGTCTGGCCCAACCTTCTTCTCTACGCTTTTCCCCCGGTTGCCCTGATTCCACAGGTAATCAGGCAGATCAGGGAACAGAAACATAAAGTGCTCCTGGTGGCCCCACTCTGGAGAAACCAGCATTGGTTGGCAGAGCTGTCGCAGCTGCTAATAGCAGCCCTGTGGCCTATTCTCCTGAGGAGAGATCTCCTCTCCCAGGTGAACAGGACGATATGGCACCCCAGACCAGAGCTGTGGGCCTTGCACCTGTGGCCACTTGACGGGAGCCTATTAGTCTCCCAGAGTGTGTATTGAACACCATTTCTCAGGCTAGAGCTCCGACAACAAGATGCCTCTACGCCCTTAAATGGTCAGCATTCTCTGCCTGGTGCTCAAACAGCGGCGAGGACCCGCTCACTTGTGACATATCGGTGATTCTGTCCTTCCTGCAGGAGCTGTTGGACAAGGGATGATCCCTGTCCACGCTCAAGGTCTATGTGGCGGCAATAGTGGCTTCTCATGCCCCTACAACGGGCCAATCGGTCAGCAGAAACAGCCTTGTTGTACATTTTCTGAGGGGAGCCAGGAGGCTAAATCCGCCCGGCCTCTCACTGTCCCTACGTGGGACCTGCCCACTGTTCTGAGGGCCCTGAAGAGCCCTCCCTTTGAGCCGCTGCAGTCCGTCGACCTTCGGTCCCTGTCATTCAAAACCGCTCTGCTACTAGCGTTAGCATCGGTCAAGCGAGTAGGGGACTTGCAGGCACTTTGTATAAGCCCTAATTGCCTGGAGTTCGGGCCTGGCGACTCCAAGGTCATCCTGAAACCAAGGCATGGCTATGTACCTAAGGTGCTCTCGACTCCATTCAGAGCACAGGTTATCAACCTCTCTGCGCTTCCTCCCTCAGAGGCGGACCAGGAGTTGAATTTACTCTGCCCCGTTAGGGCTCTGAAGGTCAACATCGAGCGTTCCGCCCAGTTTAGGCAGTCGGAACAACTCTTTGTTTGCTTCGGTGGGCGGGCTAAAGAACACCCGGTCAAGAAGCAGAGACTTTCTAAGTGGATAATTGGCGCCATTCTGCTAGCCTACTCTTCCTTGGGCCTACAATGCCCCGTTGGAGTACGAGCCCACTTAACTAGAGGCATCGCCTCTTCGTGGGTGTGGTCTAGCGGCGTGACCATTGCAGAAATTTGTGCAGTGGCCGGCTGGGCCTCGCCGTCCACTTTTGCTAAGTTCTATAACCTGGATGTCCCTGCCTTGCAGGCAAGGGTTCTTTCTCCTTAACTGGCACGCAGTTCGCTCTGAGTGAAGTTTGGATGTAATATGCCCAGACCTATCAGAGAGCTTACTTGTGCGCTCTCGGCCCCCATGGGTGCTGAGGCTGCGCAAGTCTTCTGGAATGATCACTCGGCTGGGTGAGGCCTTCATGAGACTTAGGCCGTTAGCCTGGAGTAATTTATTGTTCTTGTTCTCTTGGGCCCTGAGGTGCTTAAGACAAGGATTATCATTGTCATTCCTCTGCCATGGCACGGCGTGATTGTACTGTTCCCATAGCGTCTAGCAAGACGCAGTACGAGTGTAGTATCGAAAGGGAACGTACTCGGTTACAAACGTAACCTCGGTTCCCTGAGATATGGGAACGAGTACTGCATCGCTAGCCCTGGCGACTAGACTCAGTCGTCACTTCAGTCGAAGTAACCTGAATCCTATGGCGAGCGGCTGCTTATATAGCCAGATGACTCCGCCCATTCTGGCGGGCTTTGGCGGGCTTAGCTGCCATAGGATTGTGCAGCACTGCTGCCGAGCCATTGGTTCGTTTTTAAAACATACTGCACGAACCAATGGCCGTGCCGTTTCACTGCGTGATTGAAAAAGGCTTTAGTTCAGGAGAAAAAATGACTTTTTTCCCCATAGCGCAGTACTCATTCCCGTATCTCAGGGAACCGAGGTTACGTTTGTAACCGAGTACGTTTTTCTTTTCCTTTTTCTCTTTATTTGGATCGCTGATACAAGCCTGCACTGGGATAAAGAAAAGCAGCTATTTGTAATAAACAGAAACACATTGACCATTTTTCTGGAGTCGTCAGACCTTGGGATAACAAGATCGCTTCGTTTCTTTTGTGTGCAGCCGAGTGTAATTGTTTGTAGATTTTGCTTTCAGAGTTGCCTTGTGAAATTGAGCAAATGTTAACCCACTTTATGTCTCTCTCTCTGTGTACGCATGTGTTTGTGTATTTGGGGCCATTTGTTACCTTGTGAGCAGTGGAGCAGCAATGGACTCAGCTGGTAGGTCACTCCACTGTGACCCAGTGATGATTACATGCACACACAGACACACACTCCCCTAATTTCCTTTTCATACCCACAGGCTTGGGAAGAGCTGCCAGATTTTCAGAACAATGCCACCCTCATCATCATCTCCTCCTCAGAAACATCCCAGATCCCAACACGCCTCTATATTATCCTCACATATCGATGTCTGCTGGTGTCTGTTGTGGCTGGCCCTGTAAGAAGCTTGGCATGTGTGCAATCAAATCACTTCCTTCTGTATCCTGCAGATTATGAAAAGCGATGAATGATTACACGCAGCACCAAACTGAAAAATTTAAGGGGGTGAATTGACCTGAGTGAGAGGTTTTCAGTGCTACACAGATTGATGTTGAGCATGGCAACCGAAAATCCAAGTTGTGTTCCAAATGTTGCTCTTAAAAAAAGAAAAGGTTAAAAAGGTATACCTTTGTACTTTATTACCAGAAAGTGTGCATATTAGTACCTTAAAAGTACATATTAATACCTAAAGTGTACATAGTATCTTAATGGCATATATTAGTACTTTTTGAAAAGGGCACTGCTCCAGTGACAGGTTTTGGACCATTGTTTCTCAGAGTATACACTTTTAACCATGTATAAGGTTATTTTGTCATCCAAAGCTAAAAATGCAAAAATTGAGAGTATGAAGTGTCTAGCATTCATTTCTTTGGTTAATAAAGTGCATCATCCGGGTATTTGAAGTGCACCTTTTCTTTTTGGAAATTGAACACACTACTCACACTATTTCTTCCACAAAAATGGTGCATAAGTATCCAAATTGGGACAGAGCTCCAGTTTTACTCCTTTATAATAAATATGACTCACACTGGTTGACCACACAGCTCGGAGGAGATGCTCACCAGTGGTGGGCAGACAGTGGCGCATCTCTCAGTAGGATGGTTGTGAAGGATTAAGATGTTAAATGGAGACTATCTAAAAGAATAGCGCCACTCTCCCTGTCTCTCTTCACTCTCTCAAACGATCTGCTGGTGCAGTGGATTAGCACACTCGAGAGAGAGAGAGAGAGAGAGAGAGAGAGAGTCAAGAAGCTGCATACACATGTATAAATACAAGCATTATTATATATTGGAAAAGTGTCTTTGCTATTCCCCTGGTCCCACTGAGCTCCTGCAGTGCTCTGGTGACTCGGGCCTCAGGCGTAGCTCAGGAAAAGGCAAATCACTAATGCTCTTAGCATCAAACAATAAATCCTGGAGTTATTTTCCACCATGTTTAATTAAATATTTTGAGAAGAAAACCTGGCTGATTGATTTGACTCGGCCATTGATTTCACTATTGATTTGGCACTGTCAAGGGGCCTCCGCAGAGCTACTTGCTAAATGGCCACAAGGAGCCCTGAAATAAATGAAGTACTTTCGCGAGCTTTAACAAAATCAACTTTGTGAGCCGCTCCAACAGGTCCTGCTCCCACCACTCTTAGGGGTTTGTGACAGGCCGCTCCTCCTCCTGAGGAAAATAAGTCCTAAAACTGCTTTTTGTATGAGCATTGATGCATGCTGAATTATGAAATTATTACATTTACATTTAATTATTCATTTGGCAGATGCTTTTATCCAAAGCGACTTACAGTTGAGGAATACAACACGCAATGTATCATATAATGGCAATAAACATGAGAAGTGCCCGTTATACAAAGTTTTAGTCATCGTTCAAAATAGTAAAAAGCTAGGACAGTAGGATAATAAGAGAACAGAAAAAGTGAAGGCATATCATTTTTTTATTATTATTATTATTATTGGAGACATATTATAATTATAGTGCACTATAAATTGTCTTTGTCTTCCTGGCGTAGATATTGCGCTTGAACGTGGCCCGCGTGGCTCCTTTTGACCCCCACAGAGCATTAGCTCAGTTTATTTCCTCAAAACACTCGAAAAGAGAGTGATATTAATAATCCCATTACAAAGCAGGAGGAAAAGAGAGAGAATTAAAAGGCCATTAGTTGTGATAAAAAATGTAGTCATTACTCGCTAGATACTCAATTTCCTTTTCTCATCACAGCCTGGCTCTTTGGGATACATCATAATATCTCTCAATGCTCAATTTTCTCCTATCATTGTGCGTTTTATCTTCATTTATGCCAGTCCATAATTCAAAAATCATTATATTTCTTAAACAGTGTAGACATTTAAATAAACATCCTCCTCACTGACAAATTACTGCAGTACTTAAATGACTATGTCAGGTCAAGCAACAATATATAAACATACAAAGAGCTGGATGCAGGTGAAAGCCTTCGTAGCCCAATCAAACGATAGAGAAAAAGGAACAGAAGAAAAAACGAAAGAGAGGACAGATTTGTGCTGCAAAATCACTTGTTCTAGAAAAAGAGAGAGAGAGAGAGAGAGAGAGAGAAATAAAGAAAGAATGTGTTGGTGAGGTAATTGGTAATTGAACTATTTTTATTTTCACCTTTTTCTCCCTTTCCCTCTCTCCAGTTTTTCTTTCACCCCCGGCATAAACTCGGCCCTTTCTTTCATTGATTAGTTGCCTGTTTATATCAGCCGTTACCAAACATAAGCTACCTGGTGTGTGTATGTGTGTATGCTCAAACTGTAGCCAGGTTAGCGATCTGTCTTTCTCTCTCTCCTTTCCCCCAGCAGGCCCAAATAGCTCCTCTCAGCCCTGTGAATGAATGGCTTCACAGCCTGTTAGCTTTAAGTAATAGAAGCATTGAGCCCATCCTACTGGCAGAGACAGCTCATTTACTCCTCTCTTTTTCTCCTCTCGTAGCCCCCTCCCTTCGTTCCTTCTCTCTCCCTCATCCACCTTCTTTCTTTTTAACAGGCACAGATTACTCAGGTCAAATAAATGAAACAGACTGTTTTGCGCGGGCTGCTCTGGTGGGTGCTGAAATGGATGAACCCATTTCCCTTAATGCAGACACGAGCCCCGCGCGCACATACGCTCGCACAGACGTGCGCCCTCCCCCTTCTCGCCCCGTCTCTGAGGTTACAGGTTAATGACATGCTCATTTCGCCCAGCCATTTGTTTTGTTTTCCTGCAAAGTTCTGATAAGTAGCTAACCAACGAACCTTGTAATTACAATCTTACAGAAACCAGCCCGATCTGTATATAAATCTCACCATCCAATTACAAGATGTAATAATTTTGCACTCAAGCTGGTAATGAGCTCTAATACTGCAGCATGTGATAATCCCCTCTGGATGCTGGCTTGATCAGATGTTGGCTTTGTAATTAGACTGGCAGAAAATCATTATTTCATGTTCAAATAGAAAATGAGGTTGGTGGGAAGTTAATTTCTCTACGCTCTGTGAAGCGTAGACAAGAATTTAATGATTTAATTACAGTTGTAAGCTCCTTGGATGAGACTTAAATTGAGCTGCAATTTTTTTAAACACTACCATTTTGAGAGCAGGGCACATCAAAGCCTCTGACAAGAGTCTAAAGTGATAGGGCACAGTGATGTTTTTGATATGCTCAAATTCCTTTTCTCGTTATCTGGTCAGTTCTGCTTAAGTGAATTACTGATTACTGTATAATACCACAGAAACTCTTTGAGGAACAAAACCTTCATTATGCACAAAAGTAATTTTTTTCCTTCTGCTTTTGATTTAATTTCCACATTGCCAATAATAATAAAAAAACACTATAAAAAGATATTACTTTTTTTTTTTACCATGTTACGTCACGCACCATTGTGGCGAAGACACATTTTCAAAAGAGAAATCATTTTCATATTCATATATATATGCTGTTTCTTGCAGAGATCAGAGGGCATAAAAACATCAATGTTTAAAAATAACTTAATTTACAAATATATAATTTTTTTTCTGTACCATAAACAATTTATTTTTACCTTGTTGTATCTGGCTTCCACTAGATTCCGATTGTTTATTACATTTGTTTGTTCTGGTGTTGCAAATTACATCCATTTTCCTCATTGTAATTTTTTTTAACTCACAAACATAACAACCTATATCCAAATATTCTATACGTGTAATTCTGTACACATATGCTGAATTTTTTTTTAAAGACAATAAAATCTAAAGAAAAAATTTCTTTCTTTTTATAAAGCCTCTGTAGTGCAACGTCTGTTCGGCGCTCTGCAATCACCTGCCCGCTCTGCTCTCCCCTCCTGTTTGTGTCACGTCCTATGACAGTCAGATAAGAATATTTCATCCTGGATAAGATGCTCAGATCTGAGGAATGTCACTCAATATGACTGATTCATCCTCCTCACTCCTACCCCTCCCCTATTAGTTAGCATTTCAAAATTCCCTTTCTTTCTTTTTCTTTGTTCCGCGGAGGCACGCTCTGGACGTTCCCCTTTATTTGGCCTATCAGAGAGGGAGATGGATGTGTGAGCTTATTGGACAGTAAAAGGCCACTCTTCAGGTGACACGCTTATCCAGCCGAATATTCATGAATATTTAGGAGATGGTAATGAGGGAGTTTTGCATTGTTGCATGAGAATGGAGGGAGCTCCCCGGAGGAGGAGGAAGAGAGCGTGGACAGGTCGACGAGGTGTGGCGAGAGTGTGTGTCAAGTGTGGCAGAGAGGTGTGTGTCCGTATGTCTGAGGCTATTTGGTGAAGCGACATTCCTGTCTGATAACCCTCTTTCACTCGCTCGCAGACTCGCACACGCTGTGATGAACTTGATCTTCTTGTGGCATTGTTAAATCATTTGGTCTAGCTTCATACACACCTGTCATTCCACAGAGCTCAACAATACATCATCCAGATGGGCAGACTACACTCAGGAGCCTTAACCCAGAGCTTTAAATGACATCCTGTATTATTGATGCTGTCTTCGCTCATCTCTTTTACTGACTTAAATATTCACGTCTAAAACTCCATTTTGTGATTTAAAGAATGGTGGTCCAGCCAGTCATACCTACTTTTTTGCTATAAAGTTTTCACAGGAGGTCTTGAGAATCTCTTAAACTTTACTGACACGTTTGCTTTGCATGATCCGACAACCACCTCCATGGGGAGCGATTATTTTTTTTTTAGGTTCTGATTTGACAATCAATGTTCCCTCGCCATCAGTTTATCCACTCTGCATCCGTATATCAATCTGATTTGTGTGGCAGACACTGTCAGTAATGAAGCAGACTGAGTCTTGCTGTCTGAGCACTGGAATCCATTTTGGCAGGCCCTGTCTTCCAAAACCCAGACAGAGAAAGAGAAACCATGGTGAGCTTTAAGCAACGATCAGGCCCA